CTACTACTACTACTACTACTACTACTACTACTACTACTACTAACACTACTACTACGACTACTACTACTACTACTACTACTACTACTACTACTACTACGAGTACGACTACTACTACTATTACTACTACCACTACCTACTACCTACTACCTACTACATACTACCTACGACCTACGACCTCCGACCTACGACCTACTACCTACTACCTACTACCTACTACTACTACTATTCCTTCGTCCCTCCTCCCCCTGCGTCGAGGAAAGGGGCACGGAAGCAGGAGGAGGAGGAGGAGGAGGAGGAGGAGGAGAAGAGGAGGAGGAGGAGAAGGAAGCTCTGCCCACGCCGCGCCAGCCCGCCTCGAGGGCGACCTCCTTGGCGACCGAGACCTGCTGCCCGAGCGGCGGCCCCGCGACCGCGAGCGGTTCTTGCCCTTGCCCTTGCCTTTGCCTGCCAGCGGCCGGCCGCGCGCGAGAGCGGCCCGAGACATGATCTCTGCCATCCGCAAAGCAGCCGACCACCTCTAACTCCACCAGCGCATGACACCACAGCCAAGCTGCGCCACAGCGTGAGGCAGAGGCATCATGGCCGCTGAACTGAAAAATCCACTATCTTTGGTGCGCGGTTTTTGGGAGGGGGCACTGGGAGGCGGCCAGAAGAGATGGAATCGCATCTCCCGAGTGCGAACCAGCTGGACCGCGGGTTGATGCGCAGTTTCGTTGCGCTCGCGGCTGGATTCCGCCCCACAACCAACCGGAGCCCTGCAGAGGAATCTGCACCTGAACTGACCACCAAGACCCGTATGTGGTGGCAACCTATGGGGGCCCCTCATGCCATCTTGTTGGCTCTTGCGAGTCCGCGCCAAACGACGCTGACCGACGCTCATCGACGCGAAATCGACGCCGAGTCGGCGCCATCCCATGGACTATCCGACACCAGTCGGCTCTACTGCATTCCAGAGACGATACTGCGAGGGCATGCAAGGCCACCCTGCTTTGCCACCGAGCTCCTGCTTTTCCAATCCGCGGGCGCCCAGGTCGTCCAAGACAGGCAGCCGCAAACGATGGCGAGGGATAGGGGAACAAAAAGTGGCATGAACATAAAAACTCGGAGGTCCGCGCGGATTTCGCGGATCGGCGCTGGGGCCCCCCGGCGGCGCCTCCGGCGCCACCCCTGGCGCACTCCGCGCGCCAGGGAAGGGGCCCCAGCGCCAATCCGAGAAATCCGCGCGGACCTCCGAGTTTTTATGTTTATGTCCCTTCTTGTTCCCCTAAGGGAGGAAGAGGGAAGGTTCTGCTCAGACCGTGAGTGCCGGCGCGGGGATGCCGCGAGGGCTCTTGCGTGCGGGCCGCGTACCAGCAGCGGAGGCCCGGGCCAGAGTAGTTCAAGGGGCCCAAGGACACACACAAATAAATACACACAAATAAACAGATTCCCCATATTTCCCCATATTTTCAGGGTTTTCCCATATTTTCCCATATTTTCTTCGGGATCGACGATCAATTGCGTCTGTGTGTTTATTCCCCTCCTGAGTAGTGTGGAAGGCCTTGCAGGGGCACGGGGCGCCGCGGGGGGGGCCGCGAGCGGGGCCGGAGCGGCAGGGCGGGGCCGACTTCGTACACTTTGTGCACGAGCGACAGAGCCAGACGGCAGTGAGATCGATAGCGGGATCGATAGCGAGCACGACAGTAGGGTCGATCGTGAGGCCGATGGTGAGGACGACTCGGTGAGATCGATAGAGAGATCCATCGCGAGATCACTCGTGCGATCTACAGTAAGATCGATGGTGAGATCGATGGTGAGATCGATTGTGAGATCGATGGTGAGATCGATAAAGGGATAGGTAATGAGATCGATGGTGAGACCGATCGATTATGAGATCGACCGAGAGACCGGGCACCCAGAAACCCGGGAGCACCGCCAAATCGGGCCGGAACCAGCAACCAGGAACCCGGGAACGCGGAACCGGAAACCGGGGAACCTGGCCGCCCACCGAAATCGGCGGGAAACTTTCGCCAAATCTTTCAACATCCGCCAAGACCCCTTCAGTGCAAGCACTGATTGGGAAAAAGCAGGAGCGCGCACAAGCTCTCTGGCTTTTTCTTTCTCTCTCTCTCTCTCTCTTCTCTCTCTCTCTCTCTCTCTCTCTCTCTCTCTCTCTCTCTTGTAAAACATTTACAGATAATCTATATATCTACAGTATGTTTCTAGAGCGCGAGTGTGAGAAGAAGATTTCGAAAGAGAGGGAGAGAGAGAGAGAGAGAGAGAACGAGAAAGGAGGGGAGAAAGAGAAAGAGACAGAGAGAGAGAGAACAAAAGAGAGAGAGAGAAGAGAGAGAGAGAGATAGAAAGAGGGAAAGAGAGACAGGGGGAGTGAGTGAGCGATAGTGAGAGAGGCGCGCCAGAGAGGGACATCGCGGCCTCTCGGCGTCCCCTTGCCGGCCCAGGAGACCTTCACGAAAGGCATGCCGAAGAGCTTCTGCTGGTCCGTCCCTTTCACGGCGTCCTGGCAGCGTGCTGGAGAAGCAAGACAAAGGTTAGATGAGGACAGAATAGGGTGCGGATAAGTTGGGGATCTATGAGAGCTGGCGACCTCGCAGGGTGTCTATCTGGCGACGCGGTCGTTCCAGAGCCCTAACACGCTCCGAGATCGAGAATGTACGTTACCAAATAAAAAGCGCTACCCGGGGGGATGGAGGGCAGCGGGTAACGGTAACGCCTTGACTGGCTGGGGCAGGAGCAAACAGGGAAGCAAGACCCCAGCACTATCACAATAGCCTGCGAGCACTGCCGGTATGCGCAACAGCATGCCAGACCCTGTCGGGACCGAAATATCCCGCGAGCAGTGCGATATGTCGGCGAGCAGCACCAAGAAACATGCGAGTGCCACAGTAGCCTGTGAGCACCACAACACGCCTGTGAACACAACAGTATACCTGCGAGCACATGTAGGCATCACAAAGCGCCTGAGAAAAGCTACCCACAGCGAAACAACTATTATGGGAATGGGGCCGAGAACTCTGGGGGCCATGGCTTGAAAACAACCGTGCCGTCGAAATCTTGGGACGCAGCAGAGAGAAAGTGCAGTCAACGAGTTGCCAGCATGCCCGCGCAAATGCGAGGCGCGGCTCATGGCCAGACACCCCGGGGAGGCAGGGGTGACGAGAAGACCCTACGAGCCACCCCTCCAGAGATACCAGCACGCCATCAAGGGCAATTGCGGAGGAGGAGGAGGAGGAGGAGGGGAGCGAACGTCGCTACAGGACGGCGACGCCCCGAGTCCAAGACCGACGATCACAAGCTAAACGATGACAGCGCAGCACGTGCTCGGGGCCCCACCCTGACTGGTGGCGAGGGGTCGAACCCCAAGCGGTGGAGGACAGACTCGTGGGCCCCAAAAAACGCGCGAAGGGAAAACGGGCGAAGGGTATTGGTAGGCACCTCTTCCTCCTGTGGAAGCTCCCGCCGTGATTCTTGCCACGACAGAGACGCACCGAGCAGAGGACAGGCGCGGGGTAGGTTCGGCACAGGCTCCAGAGCTTCGGGTGCTCCGGTGCGGGGGGGGCAGAAATAGGGAGAGGGCACGCACAAGGGGGTCGGGGGAATGGGCAGGCTTCTCCTCCTCCTCCTCCTCCTCCTCGCCTCGTCCTCCTCTTTAGGAGACTGCAGGCGGCGCCCTACATCTACTGGCACAGCCCGCGCCTGCTAAGAAGCAGGGGTGCTTCTTAGAGGCCTTCCCCTCCCAGAGGCCCCTCGGTTCCAGAGGATCCGCATGACGCCACGATAGGTGGCGACATCCGAACCCTTCGTACCCCCTACCAAGCATCGATTCTCCTGAATCCATGGGAGGCGGGGGCAGGGTCCCGGTTTCGGCACGTGCTCGACGACTCCCGGACCCGACCCCCGCCGCCCATCGAGTTCTCTGAGTCGTTGACTGGCGAGGGTGCAACCAAAAACCCTAACAGGGACGCGCGGTAAGGACGCAAGACCCTTGGAAGCCGAAGTTGGGATTTCTGGGGCGGCGGACGGCGAAAACCTCAAGGGCGCAAGAGCAGGGAGGAGCAAGGACGCAAGGGCACCCTGAGCAAAGCCGCGCGTCCTTTATTAGGGTTCTTGACTGCAGGGCTCGGGCTTCGCCGCCGGCACGAGCTCCCACCTCCTCCCGCTGCTGGAAGAAGCCACGGAGCGGGGGAGCTCTAAGGCCGTGCTCGGCCTCCCGGGGGCCTCGCCCGGCCCCGGAGGCCGTCAAGGAGCCACCCATGACGATGAGCCTGACCTCTCGGGGTCGACGCTGCGAAGACATAGAATCTTATGTTGTCCCCATCCTACTTCTAAGGACCGCATCCCCGAAATGAGTTCGAGCACCCGGAAAAGTGTCAGAGGAGTGTCGAAGCAGTGTCGAAACAGTGTCGGGCGCGTGTCTCCCAGGGCCCGACACGTGAAAACCCTCGAGTTTCGGTACTTTTTCGGGCGTTCGAAATTATTCCTGGCGTTCAAGGCTAAAGTAGGTTGGAGCATCATAAATATAACCCTCGGTCAGAAGAAGTAGGCAGAAACATGAAGTAGGAAGGCGTTGAAAATAGAGTGGGTTCCGTCCGCCCCCCTGAGGGGGACGGACAAGCTGAAGCCACTCGATCACTGAAGTAGGAAGGCGCTTGAAGTGGACCGGGATCTGGGAGTCCGCAAGCGCCTGCTTTCTTCAACGACCGATGGGCAACGGCGTCGGCGCGCCGACGGCACCGGCGCAGACACGGCGGCCTGGCACGAGCTCGAGGGTGCGAGCTGCCAGCGCGACGGCCGTCCGGGCGCATGCCCACGCGGGCTGCGGCTCCGTGGACCTGGCGCGTGGGAGCAGCGGAGGTCCACGGAGATCGGGGCGCAGCAGGAAGCCGGCGCCGCCCGACAGTGGGCCACGGAGCCCGCCGCCTCCGCGCGGGCCCGTCGCCGACCGGCGCGCCCCTGCAGCCCGCGCGCAAGGCGCCTCCTCGAGCTGTGGCTTCTGGAGCGCCGCGGCACGGACCGCCTGTGGCCCCCCTGGGGCCGCACCTGCCCACGGTGTTGGTCGGCGGGGCGAGAGCGAACCTCTTCCGCCAAGAGCTGGGCGGGCTACGCACAGCTTGCATTAGGGAGACAGGGCGCGGGCGGGCGGGGCCTCAGGCGGCCGGAGTGGGCGGGGCTCGGAGTGCAGGCGGTGCAAAACCGCACCTGCCCACAGCCGAGATACGCTGAACTCGGGCCCACCTCGGGCTCCGCAGGGGCTCCCGTCCTCGGCCGCTCCCTGCATATCTGGGTCGGGGAGCCCGCTTATACTGGTGGCCACGGTGCGCTTGCCGTGGCCGGGAGAGCCCCCTCTCTCCTGAGGCGGCGCTCCTCGTGCTCGCCGTCGCTCGGACGCCCACTCGCCGCCCTCTGCTCGGTGCGTCGTGCTTGCGTTGCTCCCGCAAGATGATCAAAGGCTGTGAAGCGGACAGAACCGAGGACCTCTCGTGCTGTCATCTCTGGATGCAGGCCCGGCCAGCGCTAACACTGTCAATACCGCTCGAACGCAAGACGATCTCTCGGCGAGAACCATCGAGGAGCATCTCTGATCACCTCTTCGCAAGATGATCGAAGATTGAAGATGCTCCTCGATGGCTCTCGCCGAGAGCACACGCACTCGCCCGAGCGATGCCAAGCATGGCAGATGCGACGGCTCTATCGCGACCGCGGGGCCCTGCCTGCTCTGCCTTGCAGCCCCCACCCCCGCCCTGACTCTGTGCGGCCGGCCGCCCCGCGGCCTCCGCGTCACGGCGGTCCGAGTACTGCACGAAGGCGAACGCGGGGCTCCCTGACGGCGCACCCCCGGCTTCTGAGGCGGAGCGCCCGCTCTCTCCCGCCCCCGTCGCCCCCCCCCCCCCCCCCATTCCTGGGGGTCTGCTACATGTGCCCCTGGCAGAGGGTGCCCCCGGCCTTGCGCGATCCGCTCTGAGGCCCCCATGGGGCGCGAGGGGCGTGCTCCCGAGGCCGTGGGGGCCTCGTTGGAGATTGGGGGTTCATTTGGCCAGGGGCAATTCGAGCAACGCCCGACCCCCCCCTCCTCCTCCATCCTTTTCCCTTAATTCCCCCCTGTCGCACCACCTAGCGTGTCCGCAGGCCAGGCGAGGCGTTTCGCTTGAGACTTCCCTGCGACCTACGATGCTGTAGACAGAACAACTCGATGCCGATGGCTTCCCAGAGAGACAGGGCATACTTATGGTGATGTATGATGAGCGGACTTGGGACGGGAGTGTGGATTGCAGAATCGTCTCTGCGTCTTGGGTTTATCATGGCCCTGCCCTCCCTCCTCATCCTCATCATCATCCTGCCTCCTTCTGCCTCCTCCATCCTTCGTTTTCTCTCCAATCTCGCTCCATCCCTCTTCCTTACAAGAGGCACGCGCGCCAAGGATCATACAATCACGGATGTGGGACACTGGGAGATGATGGTGGCGCCAACCTGTGGCAGTTTCGGGAAAGCGCGCGAGTGCTGTGACGCGCTGAGCTACGGCGTGAAGAACTTGTTATGCCGCTGTGAGCCAGTGGCGTCTCTATGACTCTTCGGAGCCATTGTGCTATGGAGCGTCCCTGGGGCTTATAGGGGGTTTTGTGTGGGCCCGTCTGGGTCTCTTCTGGGCTGTCTTGGGGCAATATTGAGCTGTCTTGGGGCCTATCGTGGTCGAACAGGTCGAACAGGTCGAACAGTTCGAGGTGTAAGGAGCGGCGCAGTGCAATTATACGTAATATTTATATACACGCACGCACGCGCACCCACACACACACACACACACACAGACGTGCAAGCACGCACTGAAGTGGTTGCACGCGAATGTTCCGCAAACACCAGGGGAGACCAACAGATACACGCAAGCTTGGCAATGAGAGCAATGAGAGGCGACGGCAAAACTGGTCGAACCCAGCATCGAGCTGGACTCGAGTGGACGCTGCCGCAGGGCAAGACTGCAAGCGACTTTGACAAGTACAACCAACAAGGTCTCAGAGGAAGCTCGAGGCGCACATTCGAGCCAGCATGAGTGCAGCTAAGCGCCTCCGACCTGCTGCGTGCGAAAACGCTACCGGGGCACCTTCTGGGAGGGCGTGCTCTTCGCTCGGCAGGGACTCTCCGGCAATAACGGCCAAATGCCACCTGGCCATGATATTACCAATCTCAGTTCTAGCATTATGTTGTTCCCATCCTACTTACGGCAGGTTCGTGTCGTGCCGACCCCAGCGTTGGTTTTTGACACCGCAGGGATCATTCAACCTTGAACGATCGGCCGCTGCCGCAACGCCCGATCGTTCAACGTCGATCGATTCTGGGTCGCCAGCGGCGTTCAACCTTGAATGCCCACGCTGGGGTCGCCGCTGGTCGACACGATGCAAACCTACCGTAAGGACCACATCCCAGAAATAATCTCGAGCACCCAGAAGAGTGTCAAAAGAGTGTCGAAACAGTGTCGAAGCAGTGTCGAAACGAGTCTCCCAGGGGCCCGACGCCCGAAAACCCTTGAGTTTCGGCACTTTTTGGGGCGAAATTCTTCCTGGTGGTCAAGGCTAAATGAAGGGGAACTGGGACACACAAATAAATACACACAAATAAAAATATCCCCCATATTTTCCCATATTTTCTGGGTTTTCGTCTTCCCCTCCACTTCCCATATTTTCCCATATTTTCTGGGAATCGCCGATTAATTGTGTCTGTGTGTTTTTTCCCCTCCTGACTAAAGTAGGTTGGAGCATCATAATCCTAGCATGCTCAAGCCGTTGAGGGCTGGGGACCGGGGAAGGCAGCACGTCTGGGAACAACGCCGGGGTGCGCGAGCGGGGTCAGGCGCGCAGAGCCCTCCCCGACTCTGCACGGAGGGGGCGGCGCAGGAGCCGCCGCCTCTGTTGCAGCGGATCTGGATGTGCTTGATGCTCCCATACTTGTCGTACTCGTCCTTGATGGCCTTCTCTGTAATCGTGTCCGGCAGACCTCTCGGTAAGTAGGTAGTGGGTACATAAGTACAGCCAGGCCCCCAGCCATGGTAATGGGTACATGGGATGGTATGCCCCACACCAGTAGGTATCGGACACATCGATATGGTGTCCACGTGCCGATGGCATCGCTTTCCTAAACCTCACGGCGCTGGCGAGCCTCCTCGGCGACCCACCTCACGGCGCCGCCCAGTACCGCTCCAGACCCCGAGCGATGCCCTCTTAAAGCTATGACCTTCGAAGCCTTCGGGCGGAGCCCCGTCTTGGGGTGGCGGAGCGCGTCTGTGAGATCCCTCCGCGGAAGTCATGTCACACCCCCGCGCCTGCGATATGCCTGCGTGGATCTCCGGGGGATCCTGTCTACGAGCTCTCCGATCGACGGGTGGCCCACGGCGCAGCGCACAACGCCCGGAGATGGCGCCACGAGAGGGCAGTGGCTCGCCCTCTCTCCGCAGAGAAGGGCCGGCCGCGCGCCGTGCGCCGGAGGGGCGCGCCGCGCCCGCCGCACCGCAGGGCGCCCGCTGGACGAGGGCGCCTTCCCCTCGCCCCGCCCCCCGCGGACGTGCAGCGCCGACCCGCCTCTCCCTCGCTCCCTCGCTTCCCTCCCGTCCGCCCTTCCTCCTCCCCTCCCCTCGCTTCCGCCCCTGCTTCCCCTCCCCTCCCTTGCGCCCCTCCCCTCGCTTCCGCCCTTGCTCCCCTCCCTCCCTTCCGCCCTTGCCCTCCCCTCCATTGCGCCCTGCTTCCCCCCCCTCCCTTCCGCCCTTCCTCCCCTCCCCTCCCTTCCGCCCTTCCTCCCCTCTCGTCCCTTTCACTCGTCCTCCCCTCCCATCCCTTCCGTCCTTCCTCCCTCTCATCTTCCCTCGCTCCCCTTCCGTATGCCCCTCCTCCCCTCCCATTCCTCCCCTCCCATTCTCGGACGAAGCCAGGACGAGGAGAACATCGGGTGAGGACAAATCGAGACTCTCTGGGATCTGGCGGCTCTGGAGGCTGTCTGGGGGGCGCCGCGGCCTGCTCAGAGCGTCCCGGAAAGCCCTGATAGCATTCCTGCACGCTCTGGAACGGAATCGTCCTCGTCCTAGCCCCGTCCGACCCATCCCCTCCCCCATCCCCATCCCTCCCTCACTCCAACCCTCCCTCCCTCCACAATTACTCAATATGAATACTACTCTCCCTCTTCCCCTGATGACGTGCTGGGAGTGTTCGACCCCCCCCCCCGCGTACTGTTTTTTACACTGAGGATTCCCGGGAGTTGGGTTTTCGCTTGCATTTGTTTTCAAAATGCTGCTCTCGCTGAGGCGCCGGCCTCATTTTCGGGCCCCACTCGTTCCGAATCGTGCTCCCGCTGCAGCGCTGGCCTCATTTCCGTGCTTCCGCTCGTTCCGAATTGTGCTCCCGCTGCAGCGCTGGCCTCATTTCCGCGCTTCCGCTCGTTTCGACTCGTGCTCCCGCTGCAGCGCTGGCGTCATTTCCCGTGCCATGCCACGGCATGCAATGCAATGCTAGGTTGATACTACGCTTTGCGGTGCTCTTCTACGCCATGCCATGCCGTGCTCTACAATGCATCGCGTACCCTTTCGCGATCATTGCCCTGCTCGACATCCGACTGTGCGAGTAGAGAGGGAATCTACGCCATGGTAAGGGATGGGAGGAAGGGGTAGGATGTCAGATATGACGCGAGCGCACCTAGCTTGCCCTCCCCCCCTCTCTCACTCCATCCCTCCGCGAGCCCTCGCCTCCGAGTCCTCTCCCCCTCGCCGCCCCGAGGCCGGAGCCGCAAGCCAGAGCTGCACCGGACCACGATCAGTACAGCGCGCCATCGCGCGGCTCGAATCCAATGCCCCAGAAGAGCGCCCATCCAAGCATCAGCGCCATGAAGGTCGCTCGGATAAGGTACGTAGGACTGAGGTACGAGCAGATATACGGATCGGTCAATCCAACAGAACGCGAAGAGGTAGGATGAGAACATCCTCCAGCCATGCAGCAGGCATGCGCTTAAAACAGGACAGGAGTTGCCAAAATATCGGGCTTCAGCGATAGACAGGCAACCATCGATCCACCATCTCTGATGAAACCGTGCTGTAGACACCGACGCCTGTGATGCCGCCATTACGCCTGGATGTGTGACTGGCTGAGGGGGGCACAGACGATCATCCTTGGAGCACAAATCCAATCAGGGATGTGAGGTCGGGCGGAGGGAAAGTTAGAAGTTCGAGTTCGAAAACAAAGAAAACACAAGAGTTCGAAAAAAAGTTCAGTTCGAAAACCATCGAATTCTTTGACAGAGCTGCCAAGACAAATCGAACAGTTTGATCACATGTCGACCCATGTCCAAAGCTTCGAGAAAGTGTGGAAACAGTTTGTTAAAAGGAAAGTGTTGGAAAACACAAATTGAAACCAGTTCGGATGTCCACGCCAAAGTTCAAACGCGCTCCAGATGTTGGGGAACGCTGAATGTTGTCAAACTTTCCCGAACTTCGAGGTGTCAGCCACGTTCGACTTGAACAGTGTAAAAGCATTGGCCTGGAACTTGTCCGAACTTTGAGCATTTAAACCTGAGGGCCGTTTGCGCCCCCTCAGCCAGTCACAAGCCTGGGTACATCGGGTGTGCGAGTTCGATACATATCGGTAGATCGATCTGGCGTAAGGATCCATACGCGATGTGCGCGCGTCAGTGGCCCCGTGGCACTCTCTCGAAGCAAGGCCCTGGCTCGCGCCAGAAAGCAGGGCACAGCCACGCCCTCTCTCTTGGTTCAGCTGTGGGAGGGGGGGGCAAGAGAGCCAAATGAACGCCCACGTCACCAACAGCCACCCGCAATCGCATGACTTCGGGGCAGAATCTCCAGGGCGATCGCGACGGTCTCAGGCCGGCCAGGCGACGGACGTTCTCGAAAACGCGATCAGACTGGGCAGACTGCACGAACTTGCGCGTGCGACAATGGACCCCTCGCTATCCATCGGCCTTCGGCAGTCTTCGGCTGCTTTCAACGGTTTTGAAGTGATCCTCGGCGGCATTTGCTGACTTGCTCTGTGCGAAAGCTGGACGGCTTAGGTTTAACAATGCGTCCGTAAGCGAACATCTAGAAGAATGATAATCGAAGATATGCGACCAAGTCTGCCAAAATGCACTGGGCAGTTTAGAGGTAGCTACAGAAAGCAGTGCGGCTCCCGCCGAAGAGGAAGAGGAGCTCAGCTAGCAGGGGAAGGGCGAGATGCAAGGACGAAAGGCGGAGTCGCACAAAAATACGAAATGTGGCAAGGTCAAGCAGTCGGGATCAGCCGGCCCCTTTATAAGGCCTGCACAGGCTGCGAACAGTCACGCTTAATTCAATGACGCGTCGTTCGATGTGCGTACGAGAATGCATGCAGCAAGTGTGCCCCACTCTCCCTCTGTATGTCTTCCATCGGCCCGCCGGAAGAAGTCCCACCAGCCCTCAGGGCGAGAGTGGTCTAGCGAGCTCGTTCTGCCAACCCCCTTCCTGGCAATCGCTCGGACGTCCATTCCCAGTGATTTCTTCGGTCTCGTGCGTGCCTTTTTTGCTGAATGATCCAGGATGCTCCTCGATGGTCCTCGCCGGGAAAAAAATGCACACGTCCGAGCGATGCCAAGCTTCTTCCCCTTCGGGGACCCATACCACCTGCCCCGCGGTCTAGAAGGCAGGGGGGCGCGAGGCGGGCGTCCAAGATGGCCCCAGGTGGCTCCAAGATGGCCCACGAGAGCCAAAGATGGCCTCCAAGATCGCTCAAGATAACCCAGGATGGTTCAATCTAGCCTCCAGCATGCTTCCAAGAGCCCGCAAGGCTGCCCCAGGACGGCTCCAAGTGCCCTCCGAGCCTCCTGAGGAGGCGCCTGGCTTGTGCTCTCAATGTGTGTGTGTGTGTGTTGCCTTCTCGCCTCTCCGCTCCCGATGCGCTGTTGAGGCGAGAGGAGGGCTCCAAGATGACCCAAGACGGCCCAGGGAGAGGGGCCGAACGGGGGCCCCAGGCGGCCCCGAGAGCACCCCAAGGGCGAGCGCCCCGAGGGGGCCCCAAGAGGAAATGCTCGGCCCAGAGACGGGGGGGGCACGGCTATGCCCCCCCCCCCTCCCCCCTCTTGTAACTGATGGCGTCCAAGATGGTACCAAGAAGGCCTCCAGGGCCCCCAGGAAACCCCGAGGAGGCCCCGTGCGAGGCTCCAATGGGGCACCAAGGAAGGGGCCCAGAGCGGCCCCCGAGGTGCCCTCGGAGGCCACCAGGAGCCCCCCAGCAGACATCCCGAGAAGCTCTAAGAGGCATCCAAGAGGCCCCATTGTTCACGGAGGCTCCCCGAGGCATCCGAATGACGCCACGATCCCCTCACAAAGGGCAGCTTCCCAAAACATCGTTCCTGGACGGGCTGCTGGGAAGACGCGAAGCGTCGGGAGCTCAAAACCACCCTCTGGGGGCGCCCTGCGCCTCCTTGCCTCTCGCGAGCCCCTGTGGAAGCACTACAGGCCCGCGCTCCCAGAGCCACGATCCCGGGAACATCGCACACAGAAGTCCTAAAGGGGCCCTGGGACACACAAATACACACACAAATCAAAAGGTTCCCTATATGTTCCCATATGTTCTGGGCTCTTGACTTCCCCCCCCCCCACCTCCCATAGTTTCCCATCTTGTCTGGGGGATCGACGATTCATTGCGTCTGTGTGTTTCCCCCTCCAGGAGTCCACACGCCCAGGGGCGAGACCCCCCGGCAGAGCACTGCGTGGGCCCGCCCGCCCAGGGCCACGCTGCGCCACGGAGCACACGGCGGGCCGCCCTCCCAGGGCCCACCGCCCCCGGCAGAGCTCGAGGACGATCCCGATCCGCGGCCCCTCGGCCCCGAACGTTCAAGGGGCCCAGGTACACACAAACCAATACACACGAGTAAGATGCTCCCCCATAGTCCCACCAGCCCTTTGGGCGTGAGTGGTTTAGAGAGCCTCCTCTGTCCTCAACCCCCCAACCCCCCTTCTTCCCCTTCGGGGAGGGGTTTACCCC